GAACACCTGGGTTACCCAAGGCTGGGAAAGAAACTGTCCTGTAGCCATTACCCCAACTCTCACAATAGCATAATTCATAGTCAGTTTGACATTTGACAGGTATGTACCAAAACTCTTCCACAAAATGCAACCTTAAACAACTTCTTTTTTAGTCCTAGAATGTGGTGTGGAAGGGCTGAAGAATGAGGAGGAGGAGACCATTCAGCTAGAAAAACCTAAAAAAATCGGCATTTCCCAGCCACACTCAGGAAGTCTGCACGTTCCAGAAAGGCAGGTGGGTAAGAGAGCAATGGAGCCCTTCATTTTTGAGGACGGTGGCCACAGTGGGGGCGAAATCATTCTCCAGTGCAGGGAAAAGACCAGCCCTAACATTGGACAGCAGTGGCATCATGCCGTTGGTCTCCCCGAGAACCACCAAAGCCAAATGAAGGAGAAACTTCATAAATATACACGCTGTGGGAAGATCTCAAGCTGCAGAATGTCTCTTATTCCACACGAAAGGAGCCACGCGGGAGGGAAAGCTTACATCTGTTCCGAGTGTGGGAAGAGTTTTGGCTGGAGGACAAATCTCGTGAAGCACAAGAGAATCCACACTGGGGAAAAACCCTATAAATGCTCGAGCTGTGGTAAAAACTTCAATGCTAAGTCCACCCTCATTAAACATGAGAGGTCCCACACAGGAGAGAAGCCATTTGAATGCACCGTATGTGGGAAGGCCTTTGGCGAGAAAGGGATCCTGGTGAAGCACCTGAGGATTCATACAGGAGAAAAGCCCCATAAATGCTCCGTCTGTGGCAAAAGCTTCATTGAGAGGGGTGCACTGATTAAACACGAGAGAACCCACACGGGAGAAAAGCCGTACGAATGCTCCGATTGCGGGAAGACCTTCAGGATCAGCTGCCATCTCAAACTCCACAAAAGGACGCACACAGGTGAAAAGCCCCATCGATGTTTGGATTGTGGCAGAAGCTTTAGTGAGAGGGCCTCTCTCGTGAAACACGAGAGAACCCACACAGGGGAGAAACCTTACGAATGCTTTGAGTGTGGGAAAAGCTTCCGGATCAGCTTTCAGCTAGTCATTCACAAAAGGACTCACACAGGGGAGAAGCCACACGAATGCTCTGACTGTGGGAACAGCTTCAGGGAAATTGCTTCCCTGATCAAACACAAGAGAACCCACACGGGGGAGAAGCCTTACGAGTGCTCGGAGTGCGGGAAAAGCTTCAGGACCAGCTTTCAGCTGAAAACGCACAGAAGGACCCACACGGGAGAGAAACCCTATCAGTGTTTGGACTGTGGGCAAAACTTCAGCCAGAGATCTCGCCTCGTGATCCACGAGAGGACCCACACCGGGGAGAGGCCGTACAGTTGCTCGGAGTGTGGGAAAAGTTTCGTCTCTAGCTCTCACCTGAGGAAACACTCGGTGGTACACACGGGGGAGAAGCCTCACAGATGCTCGTACTGTGAGAAAAGCTTCAGTAAAAAATCCAACCTCGTCGTACATGAGAGAATTCACACTGGAGAGAAACCGTACGAATGTTCTGTGTGCAAGAAAAGATTCTGTAGTTCTTCTGTTTTTCATAGACATATGAAAATCCACCCAGGAGAGCAATCCTAGCGGTTTCCACCTCCGTGGAAAGTGTCGGGCAAGAGGCCCCGGCAATACATATATATTGGCCCTCAGAATATCGTTAAACATGTGAACCCTCTAGTTGTCCGGGACATTTCATCAGAACTCA